ATGGAAGTCATTGAGAAAGCTCTAGAAATCTACACTTAGAAAATGAGATAAAATGCAGAAAACCAAAGCATGTGTAATTCCAGACAGCATGCATTCTCAAAACAATAAATATGTGAATTCATTTTTAATGTGTCAAAAAATTAATCAGTTTCAGCTTGAGATTTTTATAGAAAATTAGATACTTTTATATTCATTCACATCAAGTTATTTAATCTACCAAGCTAACATTTCTATCTACATTGTCCCTTTGTCTCTTTCGGTTGATATTTTTCATTAGGGAAGAAGCAGCAGTTTCATAGAGTTGAAGATTAAGCCCTTTATGTCATAACCTGGTGTTGAGTACTTACTTGGTTTTAAAGTATAAGCTCTGATACGTGAAGCTTTACCTTTGGACTAAATCAACCTTGTTTCTTTTTCCACATGAAATAATTAAGAATTTATCTTATAAATATAATCATGTATGCACTTGTATAAATAATGTACATACTTTTGACCTTGCATTGAATTTACATAATATTACAGAGGACCATTCCATTTGTTTAAAGAAGCTTACTACTATAACTTAACTTTTCTGCACTACTAAATGTCATTAATCAAATTATTGCTCATATAAATGAGCCCTGGGCTAGCAGGCAGAATGAATTCACCACAGAATAGTTCTGGGTGCCAAGCAGTGTGAGTTTTGAACAGTGTGTTGTAAACAAGTTAGCTGAGAGAACGCTAATTCCAGATCAGGATGGTAGTTTCTAATGAATGTTTTTTAGGCCAAAATAATCTTACAGGATGTATGTAAAACCTAACATTGTACAATATATGACCATCTAATCTATACGAACTATTGATAATAAATGTCCAGGTGGAGATAAGAAAGTCTGAGCCCTCAGTCCATGAGTAGTAGTTACAGATGAATGGCTATCCCTTGTAGGGTGAATAGCCACATGTAAATATAAAGGTTGGTCTGGCTCCTACAGCAGTCAACAGTCTGGGGATCCTTTGTAGGCACAACTCTGCCCACAAATATGTTAATGAAAAGATACCCACAGACTCACTGTAAGGAATTGCAAAGACTGGTGATACTTATCACAAATAAAAGGTCCCAGTCATGACTGTCAAAGAACATTTCCCTGTCCCCTGGTAAATACTCAAATGGACTTATTCAATAAATAATCTAAGAGCACACAGTGTTTTCTGATGTAGGGCACATGTGCTCACCGGAGAGAGAGAGACAGAGAGAAAGAGAAGAAAGGTGAGAAATCAGCCCTCAGGGAAGATGGCCATGCAGCAATCTTTTCTCCTTCTTGGGATTTTGGGCATGCACACATGTGACTGGCATATTTTTCAGGCAGCCAGGTCTGGGTCCATGCTAATTATGTCACTTACCAGCTTAGATCCATTTGTAGTGTCCCAGTGCATAAGAGATAAAAACTACATTTTCTAGCCTGGCATATAAGCTCACTTTCATATGATCACTTGATGCTTACAAACATCTAGCTTTGTGCACATTATCATGCATCTTCCCTGTTCTGCTACCTCTTGACTAACCCCTCCCATCAGTACATCCCGCCTACCAACACACGTACACCTCAGCACATCAAAGCCCACTAGTGCCACAAGCAGGCTGAATTGTTGGTAGTGTCTAACTGTGTTTTTAAACTGTGTTTTTGTATGTTCCATTCTCTCTGGCCAGCAGGCCCCTCTTACATAGTCATTGGCAAGATCCTCCTCATTTCTTTGATTCTCTGTTGGAACATCGGGTCCCTTAAGAGATCTCTGCTGACCTTCCCTGGGGACACTTAGGCATGCTACTGATGTATACCAGTCTCATTCTTTAAACCATTTTGATGACATGTTTTAATTGTGGGTATATGGATCTAACTTATGGGGGGCAAGAACTTTATTTGTTTCCATATGTTCTAGGTCACCCTTGCCACTGACTCTTCAGATTCTGTGTTTCCTTATCTAACATGAAATCTAGGCTCCCTAGTCTCTCAGGTTCCTACCAGCTCTGAACATGAGTTCTTATCTTGAATCATGTTAACATCTAACAAAGTCACCAAGACTCAGTAGATATTAAATAGATGGACTAATTAACAAAGAGATTATTTTCTCTATTTTGTTAATATTCTGTGTTTATTTTTAAGTATACATAATTATTCATCTTTAATTTGTCATCATACTGTTAAATTTATTTGTTCAATAGCAATGAAGAACTTAGTAAAACAAAAGCTATGCAACATGTAATTTAAATATTCACATTAAAATAATAAAAATCATAATAATACAGATTAAAGGAGTGCATACAATTTGAATAGTTGTATTCCCCTGTACCTATCTGTCCCTGTGTTCAAATTTCTCTTTTTTATAATGACACTGATCAGACTGGATTAGAAAGCAACCTAATGACTTCATTTTAACTTGAAGGCTTCTGTAAAGAATCTATTTCCAAATAAGGTCATCTTCCTACATAAGGAGATGGGTAGGACTTCAACATATCTTTTTTGAGAAAAACAGTTCAACCTATACCAGTATCACATGCACAAAATAAGAGGGATGTTTATAAAAAGGTGATTTAAAACATTAACACCAATTGACTGACTTAGGAGTCCAAGTTTCTGGAAAATAATTATAGTATTAGAACCACAGGCTGAAAAGGAGTTTGCTGATTGTGAGTGTCAAAAAGCAA